CCCTATTCTTGGCAACCCACAAATTTCATTATTTTAATTTTTAATTTTTTGGTCATCGTCGAACAATTTAGCCAAACGTGTCTTTTGGAGGGACTTGAAAAGACGTAATTAACCTTTGGTGGTAGACTTGAGAGAAAGGTCGGCGCGATAAGGAAGGGGCATTTTATGTAAATAACTCAACGGTAGGGTTTTTCGTGAAACGGCGTCGTCGAAGGGATCTTGTTGAGTGGGTCATGTCATGTGCAAAAACCTGGCCCTGTCTCGAATATTCAATATGACGTGGCAACATCGTGTCCTAAAAAGCAAATTTTGGTGTTTTTTAACCCATGGCCCAATTTGTCTGTTCACAAATCTATAAAGCCCATTTTGAAATTGATTTAAAATAAATTTTTTAAAAGTCGTTTTTGTCTTTCTTCAAATCTCGAATCTGAATTTTTTTTTTTAAGAGCCAAATTCGTAAACGTGACACATGTGAACACGCTTACGAGGGTATTCAAATCTTCTTAATAAAATGATAATAGTTTATTATATTATATTTGTATAATTGGTCTTCAAGAAAAATCAGACCACTTTTCTCCTTATTATAATAATTTTTATATAGTTAACTATTTCATGAGAGGAAAAATCAAATGCACCTACCATTGAAATTTTGAATTTTTCTTCCTTTTGTTTTGAATTTTTAAAACAAAAGCTAAAGGTAAGAAATATTTTGAATATAGAATCTGATTCAAAGCTACCAGCTCTGGACCGCTTCTACATCAGCAAATTACGAATTCGATTCTCATAAACTTATCTTTAATTATATAACACTTAAGTTTCAAAAAAATAAAGATAAAAATTATATAACACTTCAAAACCAAGTTTATTGATCATCATAAGATCATGGATCTTGAACTTATGAATATCTTATTCCTGAAAACTCGATGGTAGTGTACAAAACAATATATATCATCAAATACATCATCAATTCGTAAACATGACAAATTCATAGTTTATTATCCATCTTTTTGAATCGAATTCACTTTTTTCTCATAGGTTATTAAAAAAAAAAACAATATACAAAGTCTTTGTTCCTCTTCCTTCATTGTATCTATCTATAATGAATCACAGCTGCGTTTGAACTTGAATCCCACACACCTCCTTCTTTCACATACTCCAAATACCTAGCAAACTCCGGTTTCGCGGTCGGCGAAC